CTTTATATATTCTTTCTATGTTTTTAGTTAAAATATAATTACATTATTTCCCCTTCCTTTTCTTCTCTTCAATCCCTCTAATATCCCTCTACTCCCTCTCAAATCCATGACCTCTTTTATTGGGGGGGGGTGTACAAATGTGTGTATGTATCTGTGTGTGTATGCGTGCTGGGTCTATTTAGCATTTAGCATGACCACTTTAGTATCAAATAATCAATTAGTGCCTCATCCCTAGGGAAAATAAATTCTCCCTCTCTTAGTAGTCATTAGTTGCTTATAGTTGTTTGTCTAGGAGTAGGGGCTGTTACAAGTAGGTTTTCCTGCCAGCCTGGACCCACCGCAGCACCAGCCCCAAATAACACACAGAGATTCTGTATTTAATATTATGCTGTTGGCCAGGTACTAGTTTCTTATCGGCTAGCTCTGTCTTAATTATTAACCCATTTCTATTAATCTAAGTATTTCCACCTGGTCTCATCTTACCAGAGAGTGGGCTGGAGTTCTTCTCTCTCCCTTCTCTCCATCTTGACTCCTCCTTACTACTTCCTCAAATCCTCCTTGTTTCCTAGTCCCGCCTATCTTGCTTTCCTATTGGCCAACAGTGCTTTATTCATTAACCAGTATGAGAAACATATTTACAGAATGACATCTCCCATCAAGGGGCCTCTTGATATTTCCCTCTTCCATGCTACACTGGTCTTGCCATTGTTTGGGGCCTTGTGTTAGGTAGGCAGCTGATGGGGGATGTCATTCTGTATATGTTTCTCATACTGGTTAATGAATAAAGCACTGTTGGCCAATAGGAAAGGAGATAGGAGGGACTAGGAGACAAGGAGGAAAGAGGAAGTAGTAAGGAGAGCCAAGATGGAGAGTCAGGAGAAAGCAGAATGCCGGCCGGCTCCCCAGTAAGAGAAATACATAGATCAGCAGAAATGGGTTAATACTTAAGACAGATCTAGCCGATAAGAAACTAGTACCTGGCCAACAGCATAATATCAAATACAGAGTCTCTGTGCATTATTTGGGGCTGGCTCGGCGGCAGGACAAGACTGGTGGCGGACGGTAAAACCATACTTCTTACAGGCAGCCATGGTGTTTCATTAGATGTCTCACTAGAAGACACCATCTTACAGCAGACTTCCCTGATCCTCTGGCTCAATCAATCTTCTCCACATCTTCTTTCTCCATGTTTCCTGAGCCTTAGGTGCCAGAGTTATGTTTTAGATTTACCCATCAGGGCTAGGGACCCCATGATCAGTTGATCTCAGTATTGACCAGTTGTGGTTTCTGTGATAGTCTCCACCTGCTGTAAAGAGAAGCTTCTTGATGAAAGGTGAGAGATACACATATCTGTGGGTATACAGATAAGAATTTAGAGTACAGATAGGAATTAAGCTGCTTTGGTAAAGTGGTAGTGTTACAATAGATTTGATTACATTGTGTAAAGATATATCACTGTAATTGATTCCATATAAAGCTAAAAAGCCAAAAGCTAGGCAGGGGTATAGGCAGAACTTCAGGGCAGAAAGAGAACTCTGGAAAGAAATCGGAATTGCCAGCTGGACACAGAGGAAGCAGGGCATGCAGGGAGAGAAAAAAGCCATGAGCCATATGGCAGCATGTAGATTATAGAAACGGGTTAAGTTATAAGAGCTAGTTAGAAACAAGCCTAAGCTAAGGCCAGTCTTTCATAATTAATAAGAAGTCACTGTTTGGGAGCTGGCTGGTGGGACAAAGAAAAACTCTTTACATGGTGGTAGGAGGTTCTATTCTAAATCCATGACCTCACTAGCCCTAGATAGCTGCATAACTTTAGTCCAATTAGACAGCCCTAGATAGCTGCATAACTTTAGTCCAATTAGACAGCTGTTGGTTACCACCAAGACTTGAATGCCACTATTGTACCTTTAGAGATAGCTTGCCCTGTTAGTCATTTTTGTGGTTTATAGGTGTCACAGGTGGATAAGACAGTTCATTGCTTCCCTCCCTTGGTGGCTTGCACAGACCTTCTGGTTCTACAAAAGCTGGTCCTTACAGAAGAGGCATTCATGTCAGATCCAGCTGGAATCTTCCAAGTCCTGTGTTTGAAGTACAACCTCTGGAAGGCAACCAAGGGCAACAGCAATGGCCTGTATTGTTTTGGAGCTCTCGAACTTTCCTGACCAACAACTTAAAAACAGGTTTTTCAAGCCTGGTGCTAGCCTTTTGTTGGATGACATATATTCTAGGTATTAATCCTCTACTGATGCATAGCTGACACAGTTGTCTCCTTTTCTATAGAGTGTCTCCTCAGATGGTTACCTCCTTTGTTGGGCAGAAGTTTTATTAACTACAGGCAACCCCATTCTTCAACATTTAGAATTATTTCCTGTGCTGTGTGCATTTTAAAATTTTAAGTGTTTTATATATGTTTTCCTCTTGAAGCTTCAGTTTCAGACTTGACTCAAAGGTCTTTGGTCCACTTTTAATTCATTGTTGTACACAGGAGAAGATACAGATCTGGTCTCATTCCACACATGGAAATTTGGTTTTCCTAGAACCACTTGTTAAAGAGGCTCTTTGTCAATGTTGTTGTTGACAACTTTGTCAAAACTTAGATGGCCATAGCTGTATGACGGGACTGGGCTCTCACAGCTGTATGACGGGACTGGGCTCTCACAGCTGTATGACGGGACTGGGCTCTCACTCACTTGCATTGATCTACACACATTTCCAGTGCAGTCCTGTTTCAGTCGCTATGCCCCCAATGTTGCTCATTCTGTTCTATTGCTTTGGTTATTGTGTTTTGAGCTTCCATTTGATTTTAGGATTTTTCCCCCCTAATGATATAAAGAATGTCATTGGGACTTCTCTTAGGGTTTCTGTTGCTATGAAGAGACATCATGACCACAGAAACTTTTTTTTTTTTAACTTTTTATGAGCATTAGTGTTTTGCCTGCATGTATGTCTGTGTGAGGGTATCAGATCCCCTAGAACTGGAATTACAGACAGTTGTGAGTTGCCATGTGGGTGCTGGGAATTGAACCTTGGTCCTTGGGAAGAGCAGCCAGTGCTCTTAACTACTGAGCCTTCTCTCCAGCCCCCACAGCAACACTTATAAAGGGTAACTGATGTGGGATGTCCTTCTGTATGCTGCAAATATGTGTTGCTTTTATTGGTTGATGAATAAAACTGTTTTGGCCAATGGCTAAGCAGAGTAAAGCCAGGCAGAAAATCCGAACAGAGAAACAGAGAGAAGGTGGAGTTGGGGAGATGCCATGTAGCCACTAGGGAGGCAAGATACCAGGGCATCACTGGTAAGCCATAGCCATGTAATGACACACAGATTAGTAGAAATGGGTTAATTTATGAGAGAGCTAGCCAGCAATATGCTTAAGCCATTAGCCAACAATTATAAATGTATATTAAATCTCTGAGTGGTTATCTGGTGAGCTGCTGTGGGGACCCAGTGGGTGGAGAGAAACTGGTCCAGGGGGACCAGGCAGAAATGCATAAGAGCTTCCAACCGCTGAAAACATTTGATTGTAGTGGCTCTGTCCCTTATCATCATGGCAGGACATGGAGGCATGAAGGTAGTACTGGAGGAGCAGGAGCTCTACAGCTTGCAGGCAACAGGGGTGAACTGAGACACTGGTGGGGGCATGGGAGGGTGGGAGGGGAGGCAACTAGGATTGATGTGTAAACTAAGATTACTCTAAATCAAATCAACTTTACCAGGTTTGGATACCTGGGTACCAGCGACTTCGAACAGTGAGTGGCAGGGTCCCCAGTGTGCTTTTCAGATGAGGTCAGAGGGCTTTCTGGAGTCAGCTCACTTCTCCGTGTGGTTCCAGGTAAAACTCACGTCACCTGGTTTTCCCATGGAGCCACCATGCTGGCCTTGAGTTACTCCCTCTCTGTGCACTGCCCATCTTTTTCTCTTTACTTATCAGGTATCTTAAAGTTGCTTTTATGAATCTCCAAAGCTCCTCCTTTCTTTAAAATAGCCTGTTCTTATTCAAACTTCTCCCTTATGGGGGTCACAGTGCGAAAGCTTCTAAAATACCTCCTTTCCTGGAACCCCCGATTGCGTTTTCTGAATAGTTAGGCAGGTAAGTGGGTGGGGATCCGGAAAGAGCTGGGAGTAGGGAAGAGGGAGGGAGGGGAGAAAAGTGAGTGTTAAAACACTATGAACCGTGGCAGGTTGCTGGCACTTGACAACTCTGGAGGGACAGATAAGCAATCAATACACCAGTGAGGATTTAGACAACAGAGAAGGAAAAACTTGAACATCAATCTGCCAAACACTGACCAGCCCTCCCATCACCCAGCTTCACCAGCAGCAGACTCCTACCCACACCAGCTCAATTTAGTCTTCATACAAATATTTTACAGTTTTATTTTTAAATCATTTACACATATGCATACAAAGAAAAATAAATTTCAGGATGGAACCTTGGGATCATGGCAGTTTAAAAAAATCTCTGATCATTAGCTCCTGAAGACAAGGCAAGCCGCTTAGCAGTCACTTGGCAGGGGGCATGTGTGTCCCCAGGAGAGAACAGTGGAGAAGAATGCAGCTGCTCCTTCGCACCCCTTGGTCTTCACCTTGTGGAGGTACAATGAGGGGAGGGGATTTTCCAATGCTACCCCCTTCAAATGTTTAAGAAGGCTTATGGTAACACTGACCACCCGCCCCACCCCCACCCCCCGCGCGCGCGCGCGCACACACACACACAGACACTCAGTTGGGAATTTGGCAAGAATACAGCTTCTGAACCAGTTTGCTATGAGAGTTTGTTCTCTTCCTACTTACAGGTCTCTCAAGGGGCAGAGCCTGCAGTCCTGACCACACCCCCTACTGTCCCACCTCAGACTCTGGGCTCATCCCACAAATGAGCGCCCTCCCTCCCCTCGTAGCCCATGCTCCCTGCAGTGATGGGCCCCAGGCCCTGAGTGTCCACTGCTTCTACAGTGTCCACCACAGGGGACAGAGTCCCGGCTCACTCCCCACGAGTGACAAAACTATGAGCAAGTGTCCCAAGCTCGGCTCTGGGGAGCAACATCAACGTTTCCCTTAACAGGCCAACAGCTAGCATCCTTCCCATACAGTATCACAGCTGCCAGGAGAACCTCTTATAACTGCCCGAGGAAGCTGAACTGTTACCAATTCCCAGTAAGAGTAGGGCGAGGAGAGACTTACAAATGTGGTAGACCCTAACACAAACGGCAGCTGATGACAACAATTTCCCTATGTCGTTGGGTCCTACCCGAAACTCAGCACCAGGAAAGGGCATGATGAGCAGAAAGAGATCTGTAGCTGGGTACATAGCCCTTGAATTACCAAGGGACAGAGACAGCTCATTCCCTACAATTATGTAGGACCTAGGACACAGACCATGCACCCCTACGTCGAGGCAGCTCCTGAGAGGTCGTACCGCTTGTGGTCATCAGCCCAACCCCTTGGTAGGCCCATTGGAGGAGAGGGAGTCACATCCAGAGCGAGAACCCCTCTAGGCAGACACTCACAGGGCAGCCCATCCCACTGTCACTGGGGCAGGCCAAACATAGCTAGGAGGGCAGACAGATCCCGAGCATCAGCTGCCCCATAGGCATCACTCTGGCCTAACATAGATAAGGCCAATCGCAGGGTACTCCATATGTTCTCCGACATGGCGCCCCCCTCGCCCCGAGGGCCCCGGCTCTTCCTCTGCATGTTCAGAGCCTCTAGAAAGTGTTCCACAGCCTCTCTGTAGGGAAGAGGAGAGATAGTGAGGGAACAGCAGTGAATGAGGCGCATGGGGAATGGGGAGGGAGGAGAGGGAGGGAGGGAGGGAGGGAGGGAGGGAGGGAGGGAGGGAGGAAGGGAGAGTCATAACACGAGAAGCCCGAGACAAGATGCATCTGCTCACAAAGGAGCCCATCCTCACCGGTGAGCCCCAAGGTTGATGCAGCTGATGCCTAGGTTATAGCGAGACCGGATATACCCAGGCTGTAGCTCGAGGGCTCTGCGGTATGCGGCTACAGCTTCTTCGCTCTGGTTCCCATTGGCCAGTGTGGCCCCAAGTTTGTTCCACAGCAAATAGTCCTGGGACAGAGAGAGAGAGAGATCTGGGAATAGGAGCTAGGCCTGGACAACTTCCGTCAATTCTGCCACCCACTTCACTACTGCTTGGTTAATGCAGGTCACTAACCCACTCTCTTGCCCTCAGTAGCTCCCAGCATGCTCACTAGGTCACCCTGTGGCAGTCACACCCTCCCTCCCGCGTCCATACACCCCTGTCCTCCCCCCCCCACCCCCTTTCCCTTCCCAGTCTTCCCAAGGCTGTCGTGAAATCTCCCATGTGCAAATGACTCTTCAGCCGTCTTCCCCTGAGGCTCACATTGGGACGAACACTGAGGGCAGCCGTAAAGCAGTCCACGGCCTTGCCGTACTCCCCGCTCAGGTTGAAGAGGACTCCCAAGCCACACTGCACATCAGGGTCGATGGATGTGGGGTCCAGACGCACAGCTGCCAGGAAGAGTTCTTTCACTTCGAGAAACAGGGAGCTAGGGAAGGAGAAGAAAAAGCACACAGCTAGGTAGATGGGTCCGTCTGTATTCCTAGCCCCCAAAACAACCCCTTAAAAAGTCAACCATACTCCCAAGATTCATCACTGTATCTCGTTTACCCAAACTCCACTTCCCAGCCTGCTTTGTTCATCACAGCCCTGCATGGTAGAATGGTAACCTCCTTCAAGCTGACCCTGGGTAAGCCATTTCACTCTTAGACTGTTGGACTCGGCATCCCGAAACTTCCCTCCTCACCCTAGGAACCCATGCACTCACTCAGACAACAGGGATCCCAAGACACGCTTGCTGGGACCCAGTCCTGCCCCACTCGCCCCTTCTTCACCAGGGGTCACCAGATGGGCATAGGCCGGTGAGTAGCGCAGCCAGTCTCGCAGGGTCTCACAGGCCTGCCGCTGCAGGGACTCGTTGGTGAAGCTTACAGCCAGCGCCATCAGTGCTGTCCGGTTATCTGGCTTCAGCTCCAGACACCTGATGGCACAAAGATGAGCAGACTGAGAATCTACACATGACACCAGCAGCCCTCAAGCACCAGGAGCCCATGGCCAAGCTTTGAAATACACTCATGAATGCCTCACTTCTGCCTGCTCGGGTCAACACAGAGAAGAATCCTCTGGCCTTCGAGTTAATATTAAAGATCCCAACCCTGAGAAGGCAAAGCTTCAGCAGGCAAAGACCAACCAGGATCCCACAAATACAATCAAAGCTGACGGAGGATCAGAATCAAGCCTTCCGCTCACTCCTCCAGTCATTACTGAGCCATGCTGACTCAGGACAATCTCAGATTCATTCGTATGCTAGTGGTCAGAAAAGACAAGGCCCTGGTTCTGGTACCTGTTAGACTAAAGGCTGACATCTACATGTACCTGCCCTCACGGTGGCACACTCACCTCCGCAGGGCACTGATAGCCAGGAGCTCTTGCTCATTCTCAGCCTGGGTGGTACCCAGATACTGCCAAGCCTGGAGAGAAGTTGACAATTCCATCACTGACTTTGTGTCTGTCCTCTCCTCCATGGGCTTCCCCCACGCACCATCTCACTGGCAGCTGGAGGAGACCACACCCCATCTGCATGCCTCTCTGGGTCCCCCCCACAAAACTGGATGAAGCCCACTCACTTCCATGTGCTTAGGGTCCTGCTGCACGGCAGCCTCAAAAAGCAGCACAGCATTGGGCAGGTCTCCCTCCTCAAGTCGACGCAGTCCTTCTTCAAAAGCCTGAGGGTGGTCCCGCAGGGGATTCTCCTCCTCAAACTGGTACCCCTAGAAAGAAGAGAATCGAGGGGGAGAACTCCTAAGAGGGGATCTAGGCAGTCAGGGCAGCAGGGCTGGGAAACCAGCAGTCAAGACAGGTGGAGAAGGTGAAGGCTTCCTTCCACGCCGGTGCAGCAAAGTCTCCGAATCGTGAGGCCCATCCATGACAAAGTGAAGGGAGTGTCAACTCACTGCCATCTGCTATTCATAGTGAAGGAAGCTGGCTGAGGCTGGAAGTATCTATGCTGCAATTATAAACTTATTTTAGGAGGCCTTCCCAAGCCTGCATTGCCATATCTTCAACTTCTCTCCACTGGACAGAGCGCGCCTCTCCACGGCACCCGCCTATCACAGTGAAAGCTCACCTCAGGGCCCAAATCCTAGTGTGATGGTGGGTGAGGGGACTGTGACATCAGTCAGAGGCCCCGCCTTCAAGGCAAGGCTTGCCCAACTCAGGGACTGCATGAACTGACTGGGTGCATCAGAAATAATTTATTCCCCATAACTACATTTGTTTGTTTCTTTTGTTTTTGTTCATTTGTTTTTTTTTTTTTAGGTGGGGTCTTGCTATGTAGCTGAGGCTGGCCTCAAACTCACAGCTTTCTTCTTGCCTTGACTTTACAGACATAAGCCACCATAGTGGGCTTCTAGACTTTAAATACAACCGGGATCCCAAAATCTAGCTGGCACAGAACACTTCTACAAGACACTGATCTCTTCCAGCTGGGGGGATTCTCAACTGAGCAAGTTACAGTGCTGCCTCAAAAGCTTTGCCAACTAGCATTTGATGTGAACAGGAGGAGGACAAGATGAGGCCAAAGTCACTGGTAAGCCACAAGGCTTTGGACAAATAAAACATTCCTTTGGGGGAAGTTACCGTCACAAAAAAAGAATGAAAACCATATGCAGGTCACCAGACAGTTTGGTGAACAATTTCAAATACAGTACAAACATGGAGAACTTAGCAGTAAACTGTACAGAATAAAGACAAGACGTCCGTCCTGTTTGATTATCATTGTGAAACAACGAATCAGAAGGGTTACATTCTATAGTGCAAGTCATTGCTGTAAAGGACAATTAACAACTTCAGTGGGGTTCAAAACATGAGACTGGCTGCTGGAGATGGCTTTGAGGGAAATGTGTCACATGGATAGTTGGGAATATTAAAAATTCCGTAAAAACCCTACTACAAAGGATAGCATGCCTTCTCAGTAAGTGACCAGACAATAAATATGTCACACCTTGCAGGTTCTACTGCAACTACCCAGCTCCACCACAAGAGGGCAAAAGCAGCCAGGGGCAGTATGCAATGAGCATGGCTATGTCATCATCAAATTTTACTCATGGACATGCTCAGCCATTGAGCCATTTACAAATGAGTGGCAAATCCACTTATCTACAGGTCACACATGCTCTAGATCACCTGAATTCAAAAGAATAAATATGTTTACACTCAACCTTAACTGCTATCCATCAACCCATCCTTTAATGACACTCCGTGGGAAGCAGATTGTTACATATGATGTAATTTCCTAATTAATGTAATTTATGCCTCAAAGCTACTGAAAGCCTTACTAAAAGTCTTAAACGCTGCCCACTAACAGTGGCTGTAGCTACTTCCTGAAGGTACAAGGCCTGTGTGTAGCAGCCAGCAGTGATGAATGTTCTCATGTCTCTACAAGACAATGTGACGAATGAATACAATCATCTCCCGAACAGGAGTTCCCTCTGGACCCTATTACCTATAATTTTAAGGTCTCATCAATTACTGCTCAAAGAGTTATTAACTATTATCCCCCTGTGCAAAAAGAAAAGATTTGCAGAGATGGGAAAAGAACCCTCTGAAGGAGCCCTTCACAGCCTACAGAGTGCAGAGAGCTGAGCACTGCTCTGCATTCTGAAAGCTCTAACCCTGCCAGTCATCTGGTCTGATCCACTGCCCTGGGCTGTTGCAAACTCTCACAGGATCACACTGTGGATACAACATGGCTTCTACATCACAGAAACTCTTTTCCTAACAGTGACAGTGTCTCTTTAGGCCACGTGTGTATGAAAAAAATCTAAGGATTATCAATAAAAAATGCTTAATTCTAAAAAGTATAAAGAGGGATGAGGAGATAGCTGAGTGGATAAAGCAGACGCAGGCAAGCAGGAGGATCAGAGTTCAGATCCCCAACTCCCAAGATTAAAAACCAAGCAAGCATGTGTTCCCATTGGAGAGTGGATCCCCAAGGCAAGCTGACCAGCTAGACTACAGCTTTGTCAATGAGCCCTGGGTTCATGAAGAGAGAAAGAGGAGAGATGACAGAGGAGAGAGAGGGAGAGAGAGAGAGAGAGAGAGAGAGAGAGAGAGAGAGAGAGAGAGAGAGAGAGAGACTTTGCCCTAGGCAGGAAAGTAGAAAGCAACAAAGAAAGACACCTCATCATAATACCTGGCCTCAACACACACATGCACACCAGACACATGCAAAAAAAAAAAAAAAAAAAAAAAAAAAAAACAAGTAACAACTAAAAAGCACACAAAGACCCATGAACTCACATCCACTTTTAAAGTATTTCATATAATTCAATACAACTTAGCTTAAGGACAGACAGAACGTAACTTCACTATTAGTAAGTAATAAAAAGGAGCATTTTTGTGAAGCATTAGTGCAGGGTTTTCTAAGCCAAGTTTTGCCAGATTTCAAGGTATCACTAACATCAAATAGGGTTCATGGATCTAATAACGTAATTATATTTTTTGTTTGTTTTGAAACACAATCTCGAGTTAGCCTAATTTACAATTCTCCCAACTTAGCCTCACAAGTGCTAGGTTACAGGTGTGTACCACCATGCCTGGTTCCCTCATTATAGTTTTAACTTTTCTACGTATTTGGCCCAGCATGTCTTAAATTTAGCACTTAAATAGTAAATGCTAAATCCAGCTTCAAATTTAAAAAGTTAGTCTGTGAAGTATGTCATAAATTCCAGAGTAATACTGCTCTTATGAGAACAGTGCTTATGTCTCCATTTATCAATGTATGGAAATGCTAATTATAAGTCAACAACATATCAAACTATTAATGTAGGGCAACAAGAGTGTTATTCCATAAGAGGAATTTATACTGTGGCAAAGTACGAAGTGAGATTCCCTAGAAGGAAGCAGCCCCTCGATGCACCACACAAGGCCATTCTTGGACAAGCCCAGAACACATGGAAACACCACGGTCCCATTTTCCCTTGCAGCAGGTTGTTCTGAGGCTCTCGACCCATGACCTTCTTCTCACAGTCCCTGAACTTCCTTCCTCCAGCTTGGCACATCTCCCTACGTCAACATTCACCTCCACAACCCAGCTCCACAGCTCAGGGCCTGGTCCTTCCTCCTCCACAGCTGAGCTGTGGAGCTGAGCTGAGAAAGAGGTGTTACTCTGATGGGGCTGTCCTTCTGTCTGCTGTGAATATATATTTCTCTTACTGGTTGATGAATAAATGCTGATTGGCCAGTAGCCAAGTAGGAAGTATAGCCCGGGCTACCAGACTAGGAGAATTCTGGGAAGAGGGACACAGAGAGGAGCCGCCAGGGAGAACCATGTAGCTGAGGAGGAAGCAAGAGGGCCAGGTATCAGTAAAGCAAGACAAAGTGGAGACACATAGATGAACTGAAATGAGTTAATAATTGAGAGAGAGCAAGCCAAATAGGAAGCCTGAGCCATCAGCAAACAGTTTATAATTAATATAAGCCTCAGTGTGCTTATCTGGGACAGGACAGGACAAAAACCTCTCATCATCATTATTCCATTCCTGTTGTCTTCCCCTTCATGTTTCAACTCAGAGGCTCAATTACCAGCCACGTCCCCAGAGATCCTGAAACTCATAAGCAGATTTACTCACAAACACCTAAGCCAAAAGCACACATTACATGCAAAAATCCAAACATCTTCACCACAGACTACTGGGAAATGTTCCTATTGTTTAAATTAGCTAATGTAATTCTTTGAAATCCTGAACTGGGACAAGAGCCTGGTTCCTACAAAAGATCAGAACTCAAATGAGAGCTGAGGGCATAGCTCAGTGGGATAGTCAGTCCTTCCTAGCACACACCACCCCTGGTTTGATCCCCAGATTGAACTCACTAGCTAAAAAAAAAAAAAAGGACATACATGTCACAGCTTGGACAGAGAAACTACCATTGTCCAGCAGAACAACCAGCAGCAGATAAATTGTCTCAGTACAACCTCCAAAGAGGACCTACCCATCATGTGTAAGTCTCCTTCATGGGCATTATGTCACTGTATGATGTGCAGAGGTATTCTTACTAACTGCTACATCTTAGGACCATTCAATTAGTGGACATCAAGAGCCAAGGTATCATCAGACTCCACAGAAAGAGGCTCAAAAGCAGCAATGGCTTCAGCATGGAAACTCTTCCCATTCCAGAACCTGGAAAGTCAGGGGCTCCTACCTTGTCGTAGGAAGCGGATGTGAGGTCATCATAGTCAGACAGCCAGGGGTGCGCCTCAGCATCCCGTTTTGCCATCTCCTCCAACTCTGCCTGCAACTTGTCCCAGAAATCGACATCAGACTGTAAGGAAGGGAGGGCAGATAGAGAAAGGCAGTGTGTCGTGGCCACCCACCCACCCTCCACTCTACTGAGGTGTGTCCCTAGGGCAATAGGTCTTAAACTTCAACATGTTCAGCAACCATCAGAGAAGCTTTTGCAAAATGCAAATTTTCCAACCATCCCCCAAGATTCTGATGCAGAAATCTGGAATGATGTCCAAGAATTTGCATTTTTAAAAAACACGTATCCCACATCTACGCAATTGACACAGATGACCCAGCACACTATGAGACAATGCCCATCACCTCTGACACTAACAAAGCCATACTGCCCCTGGGAGGGCATGGCCCTGGGGCACTTGTGTCCACACCAGCTGTTCTCACCTCTATTGCTGACTTGGCTCGCTCAAATTCCACATCAAGGGCAGCTGTGTTGTTTCCTGATCTTGTGAACTGATCGACCCAGGCCTCTGATGTGTCCTGTGACAAAAGATGATCAATGCCACCTCACCAACTTCCTTCCCATTAACAGTGACTGAGAGCCCACTAGACACCACCAGCCTGGATACTCTCAGAATCTTTCCCCACCCACTCATGATCTAGACGCCACAAGGCAACCTGTCATAAAGTCCCTTCCCACTGAACACTGGCCCCACCTTAGGCAGCAGTCTTCAGGTGGGCTGGGGAGTGACAATGTCCTACCTGCTGCTGTATAAACTCTGCTGCCCACTGCTCTGCCTGAGCTCGGCCCGACCCTGCAGCGGACTCCAGGGACACCTGCCCCTCGCCAATCTGTCGCACGAATTTCAGGAACTGGGGCACAGAGACACACATAGGCACCTTGGGACAGGACTTCTAGGTGCACACTCTCAACTATGCCCAAGGAGACCCTGCACTCGTCCCTCCCTAAACACCTCTAGCTGCATCGAGATAACGCTAAAGACACTAAAAAAAAAAAAAAAAAAAAAAAAAGCAGAGATCAAACACTTAAACATGGGGGAGGGGTTCTGCCCCTCCAGAGTTGAGAAGGCACAGAAAAGACAATGGGTTTGCAGACAAAGATATGAGGAAAATAGTGGGAAGATGCAGCCAGATCCAAAATCTCCATTCTCCAGAAGGAAGACAGTTCTAGAATCTCAGTGCCACTTTACACCATCGTAGAGTGAAGGAAAGACGGCTTCTACCTTCAGTCCCAGCTCTGCCGAGCACAGCAACAGGAGGCAACTCACCTCAGAGTTAGCCAGTTTGGGGTCGTCCACTTTGGACACAAAGTCACTGGCTGTGTGCCGCAGGTCCTCCTCGGGATGGTAGTCATCGTACCTGTGGCGAGCAAGCAGGCTTAGGCCATCCACCCACTGCCCATGCTCTTCCCCAGTCCTGGCCCACAGCAAACACTGCTGTTCTTGGGAGGAGAACAACAATGCTATCCCACTATGGCAAGGAGCTGCAAGCTCCAGTACAGTAAAGAGGGTATCTCAGTGGAAGCTGCAAAGAGAAGAAGAGAATAGCATGCTCGGAGAAACATGGTTAGACAGTTACAAATCCCTAATAGGTGAAATACCAGTAATGCTAATGGGAATGTTAATAAATGAAGTAGAAAAGAAAAACCTGCAAGCTGCATGTGGGTGGAGAATATGGACGGGGGAGGCTGGGCAACTGCCCAAATCATACTTTTATGCCATCCAAGAAAGAGACTGAACTCACCACCGATCGGTGGCAGATGATCCCTCTGGCTCTCCCAACCACAGCTTCTCCTCAGACTGCTCCAGATACTCCTCAGCCCATCGGGCGGGGGACACGGACAAGGGGTCTGCAAAGAGCAGTTGTGGAACTCAATCAAGACTCCAGTGTAAGATAGAGAAAGTAGTGCAGATTCACTGACCCACTTAGCCAAACCTAAGCACACAGAACCCTGGAGAGCCCCTCCTTGGAAGAGAATTCTAATGCACCCAACATCCTCTTCACTGGCTGAGCTATTCCCAAGGGGGCCAAATGGAAGTTTATGGAGAGCTGGGAAGAGCAGACCTACTAAGGAAGATCTGGAAATAACTTAGCACTCCCAAGGCTGAACCAGAAGGCTGGAAAGTTGAAGCCTATAGAAAGAGCCTATCTTTAAAGGATGGTAGGGTAGAAAGACGTCTCAGTGGTTAAAAGCACTGGCTGTTCTTCCAGAGGACCTGGGTTCAATTCCCAGCACCCATATGATAATTCACAACTGACTGTAATATCTTAGTTCCAGGTGCCCTCTTCTGACCTTAAGGAAACCAAGCACACATGTAGGAAAAAATACACATAAAATAATTTTTCAAAAATCTTTATTAGTGTATATCAGTTGTACAAAATTGGGGCTTCAATACACCATTTTCATACATCCATATAATGAATTTTAATCACATCAACTCCTCTTTCTTTGGGGGGAATGGAGGTTTTAGGATGTCTCTCTATGTAGTCCTGGTTGTCCTGGAACTCACTACATAGACCAGGCTGGCCTCAAAACCACTGAGATCCACTTGCCTATGGCTAGGATAATGGCAGGAGCCACCATGCCCAGCCACACACACACACCCTTTACTTCCCAACTTCCCCTCCTCTTTCTTCCTTCCCCCTTCACCAGCCTTCCAAATCCTTTTTCGGTGACATCTACAGTGCTCAGTAAGAAGCAGGGAGCAGCCAGGCTCCTTTACAGGAACTATATATAAAGTATCAAGTACAGTGTACGCCAAACCTGGACACTCCACAGCACTCACAACCCACTTGGGGAGAGTCAGAGCTGCACGAATCCTCATAAGAGGCCCCTACACCCAGAGATAATTCTATCCTCACTCTTGTCGCCGTGTTGTTGCTGTTTGGGGCTTTTTAAGACAGGGTCTCACTATGTAGCCCAAGCTGGCCCCGAACATTTAAATAGGCCATGTTTTTCAGTCAAATTCTAAAGTTATCTTAGAAACTCTAGTGACAAAGGGCACCAGAAACATGGGAACAAACACTAAATGAGGGCACTGAACTGTTTCTCAACTCCTTGAACTTTGTCCTACCAAGCAAGCAGTGAGCAGATTAGTGTTGCCGAGGTAGCAGAGAAGGCACAAGCCCAGGTTCCACCTTCTACTCTGTCCCCATCTTTACATCCCAGATGCCGACAAGGTAATCCAATCCCCAACTGGAAGGTGTGACTGTCCTGCTGTAATACTGAGAAAGCACCTCATGCCCTTAGGATTGATGTACATCCCACTTTACCTAAGACTTGGCCTGAACAATTTCAACAAAGCATTCTCAAACTCTGAGAAAAGAATGTCAAACTCTTAAAGAAAAAGAGCCAAGGGTCTCAGAATACACACACCTAATTGTGAGAAGTCGTGCATAATTAGCATAATTAAAAGGCATGATGAATAACTGTTTGGGTTTACAGATCCCATGTTTTAATTTCAAGGACCGTCAACAACTACAGGCTCTGTTCTCAGGGCCTCGGGTAACATTTTTCTACTTCCCTACCATAAGTAGATGGTGGCTTATATATGGAGACTGAAAAACAAATGTTTAACATCAAAACAGATTTGAGTAACAACTCCCAGCTCCTTAGTCCTGATCTGTTGAAAAAGAACCATTCTCCTGCTCACTCTCCATTGCCTCCTTACTCTCACTTTGGCTGTGAGAGATCCTGAGACCACAGTCACAAGCTACTTCTGTAGAATATCCTCACCAACAACAAAACAACAGAAAAATCTACACTGTCTGGACTTTACCACATGCACACCACACTTTAGGGGCAAAGAAACCAGGTGACAAGCACCATCCTTACATTCTACAATTCAGGGCAGGGTGTGCACATCAGTGTTAAATTCCTGCCTAGCATTCGAAAGGGCATGAGTTCAATCCCCAGCTATTACAACAGTAATAGCAACAACAACCTAACACAGTTTGACGCTGGGTCTCAAGACGCTGAATTTTCCAGCACTAGGAACCTGCCCCAACAAAGGGATTAGAGAAAATAACCAAATGAACAACATTTGGCTTCACAACCTTTTTTGAGAAATCCTTACAGAAAACCAGATCCATTTGGACACACTTGGAACTGAAGCAATAAAGACCAAAGAGAAACAGTGATTGTCTTAGGTCACACATAAGCAGAGTTTGAGCCAATGACCTGGATATCACATTCCTGTTTGCATCATACTTCTCACAGAGCACATCTCCTACAAGTGGAAAAGTCAAACACTCAATGCCCTACTCTAAGCAGTGAGAGTTCTGTGGAAAGGAGTGTAGGTTCTAGAGTGAGCCTAAGGTCACCCACATTCAAACCCCAACTCCACTGTGTACTTCAGAGTAGATACTTTAACTTCTAAGTTTCCACTTCCTTATCTATAAAACAGACAGTAACAAACAGCTCATAGGGGTGTCTGCAAAATTATAATTCAGAGGCCAGGCAGTGGTAGTGCACAACTTTAATTCCAGCCCTTGGGAGGCAGAGACAGGTAGATCTCTGTGAGTTCAAGACCAGCCTGGTCTATAGAGTGAGTTCCAGGACAGCCAGAGCTATATAAAGAAACCCTGTCTCAAAAAACAAAACAAAACAAAAATAATAATAATAAATAAAATAAAAGGCAGTACAAAGCCGGCTGCTATCATTACTGTCTGGGGAGGGCAAACCTACAGAGCATCACAGGGAGACTGTCGCTCCTCTACTCCATAGCTGCTCCTCCTCTTTTCAGGGAAGAACTAGCACCAGCACATTCTGCCAGTGCTTCTGACGACTTTTCCTGTAACAGCACAAGCTGGTAGTTCATAGCTGCCCTATGACCTTCACACACTGTGGTGGCCATTCTTGCTTGTCATCTTCACTACATCTGGAATTAACTACAACCCAACAAGCTGGGAACTTTTTCTTAATTAAAACATTTGAAGTGGGAAGACCTACTTTTTTTTTTGGGGGGGGGAGTCAGACAGGGTTTCTCTGTATTACTTTGGAGCCTTCCTGGAACTCGATCTGTAGACCAGGCTGGCATCGAACTCACAGAGATCCGCCAGCCTCCGCCTCCCCGAGTGTTGGGATTAAAAGCGTGCACCACCAAGGCCAGGCTTGGGGAGACTTCCTTTTAGTCTGGATCTTCTGGACCACAACTTTTCTGGCTGCCTGTAGATTAAGGCTGGAAGTCACATCTATTCCAGACATGGAAGAAGCAAGCTTGCACTCTACTCTCCCTGTTTGCTCTCCTCACTGGCAAGCCCATTCCTTTACTGGCATCAAAACCTATGTCTTTGACATTGTGACATACTAAAGACCAGCTGAGACATCTAGCCTCATGAACTAAACAACTACTGGATTCCTGGACCTCCAGTTGGTAGACAGACATTGCTGAATTAGCTGGGCCACAGCTTGTAAACCACTCTAATAAATCCTCTCCCCCCCCCCCATGTGTGTGTGTGTGTGTGTGTGTGTGTGTGTGTGTTTTCTGTAAGTTTCTGTTCCTCTAGATAACCCTGATTAATACACACAGTATTATGTCAACTGAGTCCGTCTAAATTCAGAATACCGCAGGCTGAGTTTTATCTCCAGATTTGAGTAAACACAAGATGCCAACTGGCCAGAAAACACAACAGATGCTTCTATCAGTAGTATGAGAGACCAAAAAGGGGGGGATGGGTCTTGTATAGTGATGGACTAAGTCTTGACTGGGTGCTTATGCAAATCTACACAGCTGATGAAGCTGCATAATACTGTTCACACACAGATAATGAATGGAATGCAAAACTGAGGAAAACCAATGAGCTATATGAAATGTACCAAAGTGGATCTCCTGATCACCACAGGGAGAATCTGAGGTCGTAACAGAACTTTCCTGAATGTTTTCTTTTTATTTATTTTTCTGAAATTAGCAGTAAGACTATAAAATTTTCCATATAAAAAAAAACAACTAGCCAGGTGGTAGTGATGAACACCTTTAATCCCAGCACTTGGGAGGCAGAGGCAGGTGGATTTCTGGAGTTAGAGGCCAGACTGGTCTAACCCTGTCTTGAAAAAAAAAAAAAAAAACAAACAAATAAAATAAAAAGATGAGCTTCAAAGTTCCTTTTGAGTAATTCTAGAATATTAAACATGGGAATTAAAAGATAAAAAGAACCTACAAAGCATGCCTATAATCCCAGCACTTGGGATACAGAGGCAAAACTCAGTTCAAAGCCAGCCCAGGCTATATAGTAAGACCTTTTCTCAAAAAAAAAAGGGGGGGGGCATAAGGGTACATGCCAGTAACCATAGTAACCATAACGTTCACCAGAGACAGCCACAAATGTAAGCCAACCTGATATACAAAAGCAAGCTGGAGGCACAGCAGGGCTACAGTGAGATTATTGTCTCACAAACACCAAAACATAATTAGCTAGTAAGACTTTTTAAAGTACAGGATTTTGTTTCGAATCTACTTGCCCATAAAACAACAGTTAACTCATATCGTTGACATACCAGCCACAAACACTAAGAGAAAGACATTTTACAGCATGAACTCTGGGGCTGCAGAGATGGCTCAGTGGTTAGGACACCAGCTTATTTAAAGGTTCTTCCAGGTGACCTGGGTTCAATTTCCAGGCCCCATTTGGCAGCTAACAACAATCTCAAACTCCAGTGCTAGGGGATTTGACAGCCTTTTCCAGCTTCTGCGGGTAATGCATATATGTGACACACAGACAAACATGCAGGCAAAAAGACCCATATACATAAAATAATAATAATAAAAATAAGAAATCTTTTAAATAAATTATGAATTCCTAGCAAGTAAATTTCTTTCAGCTTTTGCTCCCAACTCTCCACTTGTTCATTCACTATCAAAGGTCTACTACAACGGGACAGTTTTACAGAGACCACTTTCACACGGCACCATTCCAGGTACCCACATCCGGGCCTCTGTGAAGCAGGAATAGTTGCAAACAAATGTGCAAACCGGATGAGCTCTCCAAAGACAACCAAGCAGGTGAGGCAGGTCCAACATGTTTTTCTAAGGCTGTTCTCATTTGTGAATTAGGGGAGATGTCACGGGCAGGAAGTAATTAGTTATAATAAAATCAGGCTCACATTGTGCTTTGCTGAACAAACAGTTTGTTTGTTTGTTTGTTTGTTTTTTGCCTGTTAGCTTTAAATTATGGAAATGACTAATGCCCACCCATTCCAACCAGTCACTCTGTACTAAGGTTTGTGTGGACACCTGGAAGGTTCAGTCCAGCAGAGGGTCTCTAGATAGCTCGGATTCTGACTTGAGGCAATTCCACAGGGGAAGCCTTGAGAGTATTCTAAAACTGAGGATTTTGGAATTGTTCGAAAGTACAGTTGCTGGGTGCAAGCAGGCATGAGCTTGGATATCAAATCTCCTCCTGACACTTTGTAAGATTTCCAAATCTCAGCCTAGCCGAGACGGCTCAGAACTAACAGCAAACCCTAGAACACTGTCTGCCCTCCTTGCTTTAGGAAAGGGCATCTGGGTGTAATGACCTATAACCACTTACACTAGTCATTGGGCTCCAGGGCATTTCTCCTGTGTTCAGAGGAAGCCCTACCTTCAGGAGAATGAGAAATGGTCAGAGGAAACGCCAACTAAGTCCTTAACTCAAAACCCTTCGACTACTCAGGACACTGTGACTGCCCAGAGGCTAGAATCTTTGTAACTTTCCCCATTCATATCTCTTCTCATCCTCGGATTTCTCAGCGTAGAAAAAAGGCCAACAATGCTTTTCTCAGTGAGCAATCAGGAGAGGAAGGCTGAAGACTCTGCCCCCCCCCTTCGCCCCAATCCGATAGCTTGGTGTGTGCAGCCAAGGGAGAAAGAGCATAAAAGTACAGGCCCGGCAGGACAGACTGACAGCTTGGTCCACAGTCAAACCCCAACTACACCCTAGGGAGAACCCTAAACAGCGAGTTTAAACTAAACTGCCTTCTAGACATGTGTGCTCACCACAGACAGTGCTGCCCTCAAGCGTGGCCAGGGAAGCCTCTCTGCAGTGGTCAGCAGGTACTGACGGAAGTGCTGAGAATAAGTAAGAGACTACCAGCACTCAGCCCTCACTGGGACATCCATCCTCAGAAGCGGGGGTGGGGAGGACGTGGGACCCAGAGGATGGAGTGGGGTGCAGTGACACACCGTCTTCAGGACATGGCGTGCCCATTGCACCCATGGGCTCATTTCAGCGGTAGTCACCTGCACGGGGTCATGTCAACAAGATCAGGTGACATCTGAGAGGCAGCATTAACTGGACTCAGCGGACTATTAACACAAAAGAAAGGGAAGAGAGGAAGGGGCATGGAGGGAAGCAGGGCATGTTGGGTATCTAGAGGGAGTAGATGGAGGAGTCGGGGGAGTTCTTCCAGAGAGCCCGGGTTACATGTGACCAAGATACACTGTTTACATGTATGAAAATGCCTAAGAATAAATAAAGGCTATGTTATTAATTAAAAAAAAAAAAAAAAAAAAAAAACCTAGCTGGGTGGTGGTAGCCCACGCTTTTAATCTCAGCACTTGGGAGGCAGAGGCAGGGGGATCTCTGTAAGTTCAAGGCCAGCGTGGTCTACAGAGTGAGTTCCAGGACAGCCAGGAGCCAGGACTGTAACACAGAGAAATCCTGTCTTGAGAAAAAAAAAACTATACCTCAAAAACTCAGTATGCTTATCTGTAAAGTGGTTCTGAAAACAGTAGCTAGAACTTGGGTTGTCATGCAGTTTAAACAAACAACAAATTCAATGCACTTCACACAGAGCTCAGAACACACTAAGTACACAGAAGCTAATATTATTATTAACATTGTAGATGACCTTTACCCTCAAAGGCCACTCATTCCTCTATAACAACAATAGAATAGTTCCCGGAACTCATACAGACACAAAACTACAGATTCCAGTCTCTTATATGAAATGATCTATCTGAATATAACCTATACATCCTCCTGTTATTTTAACATCTCTAGATGACTATTAGTACCCAGTATATAATATAAATGCCAAGTATATAGTAATTACATGGATCAGGAAATAATGAATACACACACACATACACACACACACACACACACACACACACGTGCATACACATATACAAACAGCCAGGCATAGTGGTTCACACCTGGAATCCCAGCACTCATGAGGCTAAGGTAGGAAGACCTCAGTTACATAGGGATTTGGAGGATAGCCTGGTCTACAAGAGACCCTGTCTAAAAACTCAAAAAGTATGTATACTTTTAGTATAGACATAAGGTTTTCCAAACATTTTTCATGCACGATTTGTCCAATCTACAGATAAGGAATCTACAGATACAGAGACAGCCTAGTTTCTGAACACCATAATTCTACTTGCCCAGACCCCCAATTCTACTCAAGATGGCTGAATGCCAGACTCCCAGGGGCTACAGTGATGATCTCTCTCCTCCTAGGCCATCCATCCCATCTCTAGTTCTCTGCATTAAGCTGGAGTTTCCTCTTTTTCTCTCTCCTTTCTCACTCTCTTCCCCCTCTCGTTTTTTCTTCATTCAAACATGGTTTTCCTTGTTTTTCAAGACAGGGTTTCTCTTGGCTTTGGAGCCAAGAAACTAGCTCTGCAGACCAGGTTGGTCTCAAACTCATAGAAATCTGCCTGCCTCTGCCTCCCAAGTGCTGGGATTAAAGGCCTGAGCCACCACCACCTGGCTTCAAAGCCGGTTTTCTACAAAACAAAACAAACAAAAATCTGGGCAGTGGTGATGTACGCCTTTAATCCCAGCACTCCAGAGACAGAAGCAGGAGGATCTCTGTGAGTTCAAGGCCAGCCTGGTCTACAGAATGAGTTCCAGGACAGGCTCCAAAGCTACAGAAAAATCCTGTCTCTAAAACAAAACAAACAAACAACCCCGGTTTTCTTGTTAATATGTTTTGATTCCCTCCAGTTACTACAAGAAGTCACATCTAATGTCCTACAGAAATTAATCAAGAAGTTAGAAAAAAAACATTACAGCTAAAAGTCACCTTATACCCTAAGAGGAATTATTACTGCAGTACAGAACTTTTAAACAAATAGTACAGGTTTTCCCACAAGCCTTACCTGTGACTTCGGCGATGAATTCTTGGGACCAGTCAGTCTCATTATAATCCTGAGCTACATCCACAGCATCTCCAGCCGCAAGAAACTCCTGGGCCCAATTCTCAGACAAGGCCAAGTCTGCTATACCAGGGGCTAAAAAGAGACAAGAGAAGACTAAGAAAAGGGAAACAAGCACCCATCACTCCGGAATACCACCTCCTTTGTCTCCCTCACTCTGCTGACACCAGCAAAGTCATAGGATAGGAGCCCTCCGGCCTCTGTGCACAGAAAACACTGGTCTTCTTTCTCACCAGGCCCTCAACCTACCTCTCTGAGGTGCCTGGCGGAAGTTTGACTGTTCAATCTCCTGCATCTCTGCCAGGAGGTCATCCATCTTGAAGGTCTGAGGGGCCCGGGATACAAGGGGTGCATTCTGGTCCTGCAGGAATTCTGCCACCAACTATTACAGAGAGATAGTGAGATGAACTGTTAGGATCAGAGGGCCTCAGAAAGGGGCAGGACAGACTAGATGGGGATACTGATGTCAGAGAGATAGAAAATAGACACTGGAGACAATAAAGAAAAAAAGCATCCATCTGTAAATTTGGAAACCAAAAGGAGTAGAAGAAAGCATTGGCATACAAGGAGAGAGTTCAACGTGAAGTATGAGTGGACTGTTTAAAGGTTAAAAAAAAGTCATCATGGACCAAAAAGAGAGAGACAGACAGACAGAAAACTTGCTTTATTTACCTCATCTTCAGAACCTACTCCCAAGGGCTTGGAAACCTAAGAAGGAAGAAAAGAAGCAATAACACAGTCAGGAAGGGCACAGGCATCCGGAGTAGCCCCAACTTTAACTTTAGGTGACCTAAAGCAAGTGATTAAGCCTTCACAAAGCCTCGGCTTCTTTGTCTATAAAACAGTTGTCCTTGTCTGTGTACAGATGCACAGTGCTCACCCCATCGTCACTGAGTGGTAACTGCTATTTCTTGTAACAACAGAGAAAGCACCTATTGGGCTGACAAATGGGCTCTCCTGCCCTAGAACACTCACCGTCTCGGCGGCTGAGGCTCCTGGGGGCCAAGGGCCAGGCCTCAGTCCCTCCTGCCGAAGGGCCTTGTCCTGGGTGAAGTGGGTGGCCAGCTTCATGAGCGGGTTAGCACCCCCACACTCGCCCTCCACCAGCTCCCGCATTGCCATGGTGACCACCAGCTCCCTGATGGACACAAGATTAGAACTGTGGTCCCAGAGTCGGACTTTCCCAACGCACGCTTCGGCCCTCTAGAGCAGGTGGGCCCACGACTGTCCCACGCGGGCCAGGCCTCCAGGGCCAGGCGTCCTGCCGCTCGCTGGTCACCCCCTAGCTGTGTCCGGAGTCCAGGGGGAGTCTGTTTCGTCCTGCCTCCCCACTCCAAGCCTCGGCTTTCGGTTCGGGTCCTCCCGCAGCTGTCAGGACTGCATCTCAGACGCCACCCGCCAACTGCAGCCCGACAAATGGGCCTGGACCCCTGGGGAGCACGGGCACCGCGTCATCAACACGCCTAGACGGGGACTGCGACCGGACCAGAGAGAGCAGGATCGCCGACCGACCGCACACCTGGACCCGCACCCAAGTCGGGGGTGCGCTGCGGGACCGATCCCCGTCACCTGAGCCCCTCCCCCCGCCGGGCCGGCCCCCGGCCCCGCGCCCCCAGTCCCGCTGGCCCAGCCCCCGCCCCCCGCTCCCGCTCCCGCCCCGCAAGGCCACCGCAGCAGCGGAGACTCGCGGCCCCGACCCCGCGCCCCCAGGCTCCGATGCTCACCGCCGCGGGCCGCACCGCAGGACCCGCCGGGGCACCCGGGGTGGGCTGGGGGAGGGGAGGGGGCGGGAGCCAGGGGGCGGGGCTCAGCCTTAAAGGGGACGGGACGGCCGCGCTGCGGCCCAGATCAACGGAAGCTGGTGAGGGGGCGGGGCCTTGAGCTGCGCGGCGTAATGGGCGGAGCCAGGAGCCTTAAAGGGGAAGTCCTGGCCAGTTGGCTTGGCGAGCTCTCCAGTAGTCCCTAGAACGCCAGGATTTATTTTCTGGAAAATTCAGAGAAATGGAGCTAGCTAGGAAAGGCTTCTCGGGCTTTGGAAGGGAGCCAAGGTTGCAGGATCCAAGGCTCAACTCTCTTTCCTGGGTCTTCTCTCTCTCTCTCTCTAAATCGGCCAAACAGAACCTGGGAGATTTCGTGGGGTCAAATCCGTGACCTGCTTCGGCCTTGTGGACCTCACCCCCGCCCCCACCCCCACCCCTTCCAACGTGCTCCTTCAGGACAACGTCACAGCCTCCAAGGAGACCGAGGCTTGCCCCCAATTCCTCTCCCTTGCCTGTATAATGAGGAAAATTGCGCCGGATGATGACAAATTCTGGTGACTAAAATAGGGTCCTACGCATTCTGAGACCTCAAACCGGTAATGGATGGGAACGGTGCAGTGAGTCACTCCTTTCTCCTTCCAACATCACTACTGCTCAAGGTCATGATGGCCTGATTCCCTCAGCTCCAAGTTGGGAGAACGTGGCAAGAAATACCTTTGATGGGGGGTGGATATGAACCTAAGCCTCAGGCTCCACCATCTGCCAGAGAACCTCAAGGGAAATAAACCTTGACGTCTCACCTAGGTCCAAGACCAAGGGACTCCTTGACGTCGTGGGGAAGGGGAGGGGTTCAGAGTGCTGGCTGGTGGGCTCGGATGAGATTAATGCTAGAAAAGCCAGACCATGCGGAAGCAGATAGTCAGCAGGTGGCGCTCTGGGGCAGGCTTTATCTTTACAGCAAAGGTAGCCTCACTTGGGGAATACAAGCTGTGTAAATCCATCCCTAGAAAGATAGGAATTGCCCTTATAGCAACAATGGTTAAATAAGGCAGAATATTGTGCAATGCTTTTGCCTTTAGTACATTGTCGATATTGTTCAGAGGCTCTAACCCCTATTTTCCAATTTACAATAAATCCCAGCCCTCGGGTGTCCCCACTGATCCTAGGCTACCATTGTAAAGAAAAAAAGAAGAAGAAAAAACAAACAAACAAAAACTAGATCGAATAAACTAACCGCACCAAGGAAAAAAGGACGCCCTCTTAGAAGATGAACACTTAAAACAGGAGGCTGTCTGGAGAAAGCAGTGTTTAAGGAAACATGTAATGTTAACATCAAGGAAACAGGAAAGCATCTCCCCAGTAACACTCAAAGCACACCACACACATAGCCTTCTGCTCTGCTAGGAGTTTAGTAACTGATTAGCAGTAATTCACTATGCCAAGCTCTTGGGAGAATGGTTGTAATAATAACTAAAGCTTATGAAATGCGTGTTAAACCCCAAGTGTTACACTAAACACTTGGTGAGCACTAGCACTTTTAATCATCATAATCTTCATAATACTCCTATGAAAAAGATATTACTTACAAATAAGACTCGTCCGAAAATCAAACATCTGGGAAGTCAGAATCCAGAGCTGGCAAGATGGCTCAGTAGGTAAAGGCATTTGTATACAGGCCTAATGGCCTAAATTTAATTCCCGGGTCCCACAAAGTGGCAGAGAGAACTGATTCCCTCTGAGAGCTGTCCTCTGACCTCTACACACACACACACACACACACACACACACACACACACACACTTTAATCAATGCAAGCATAGTTCCAGGCACTGACCCATATACAATCCTGCCTTCCATACTTGGAGATGTCATCCTTGTAGAGCCTAGAGAGCTTTGATGTAAGCCAAAGACTTCACAGAGTCTAGCCCACAGTCCCAGAGGTGTTGGAGAAAGACTAAGTTATGTGGGTGCTTAATATTTTGATATTTAGCCCATTGGGTTTCTAATGTGAAATCAAATCTTCATCTAAGTTCAACTTTAGAGCCATATTTCTAGCCATAAAATAAATATTTTTTATAAAGCAAAGGTAAATATTCCTTAATATTTAACCAATTCAACAGGCTGAAATCCTCTAATTTTCCGATATATGTTTACCATGCCAGGTATGGTTTTAAGCACTTTTCAAATATTCATTTATGTAATCCACTTAATAATAACTATTAATATTAAGCTGTCCCCATTCAAGAGGTAAGAACATTGAGACTCAGAAGTGTTGGGACTTTCCCAGGGTGCTGTCATTTCACAATAGGGGGAGGGGCATGGCTGTGTTACATTCAGAGTTCTTAGTGGTATATAATTTTCATGACAAGCCATTCTTTTGACTTTGAAGCAAAAAATGTTTTAAAACAGAAAAAACAAACAAACAAAAAAAAAAAACTTAGCTTTTAGACTCTGCAGAAACTGGGAGTGGCCAGGCCCTGCTTTGCTGACCACTGACCTGGAGAGTCCAGTTCCAAAGTCCATATTCTTTTTATTTATTTATTTTTATTTTATTGGTGTTTTACCTGTATGTATGACTGTGTGAGGGTGGAGTTACAGACAGTTGTGAGCTGCCATGTGGGTGCTGGGAATTTGACCCTGGTCCTCTGGAAAAGCAATCAGTGATCTTAACCACTGAGCCATCTCACCATCCCCTTTTAAGTGTGTGGTCCAGGATGGCCTCAGACTCGTGGTCCTCCCACCTCCATCTCTTTCATCAAATCCTTCTGGTGTGCACCACCACAATGGGCGTCCGTATTCTTCAAGGCCGCACTGCGCTCTACTTTTGTTTTTCAATTTGGTTTATTTTTGTTTTTGTGACAGGGTCTCACTCTGTAGCCCAGGCCAGCTTCACACTTGCTGTAATCCTCCTGCCTCAGCTCCCTGTGTGCTAGGATCATGGGCATGACCTGCTATGTCTAGCGTTGGTGGGAAGAGGCATTATGAGCATTCCCATGTATCCCAGGCTAGCCCCGAGTTCCTGGTCCTCTTTCTGCTTTCTGAATCTTAGGATTGCACACATGTGACATCACATTTAGCCCCTTACCACCTTTTGGGGAGATGAACTCTGTCCCTGCCATGGATCCCTACGCCAATTCCCTGACCAATAATGAAATCTAACTCATGTTACAACCTTGCCTACTTTGTGTCCTTTAAGTGCCAATAATTTACACAATCTCATCACTTGAATGAGTAAATTTATTTGTATGTTTTCAAGTCCACGTTTTTTTCTTTTGAAGGGGGATGCTTTAGCCTTTGTTGTTTTTGTTTTTAAGATGAGGAATCAGCCATGCATAATGGCACACACCTTTGATCTCAGCAGTCAGAAAACAGAGGCAGGCAGCCCTTTGTGAATTTGAGGCCAGCCTGGTCTACATAATGAGTTCCAGGACAGCCAGGAGTATATAGAGATATCCTGTCACAAAGAAAAACAAACTTGAGTGATGGGAGATGCCATTATGTATATATGTTTCTCATACTGGTTAATAATAAAAGCACTGTTGGCCAATAGGAAAGGAATATAGGAGGGACTAGGAGACAAGGAGGAAACTGGAAGTAGTAAGGAAGAGTCAAGATGGAGAGTCTGGAGAGAGCAGTATGCAGCAGCCGGCTCCCGGTAAGAAGACCACGTGGAAATACATAGATTAACACAAATGGGTTAATACTTAAGACAGAGAGAGCTAGCCGATAAGAAAGTAGTAACTGGCCAACAGTATAACATCTAATACAGAGTCTCTGTGTGTTATTTGGGGCTGGCGCGGCGGCAGGACAAGACCAGCGGTGGCAGGAGGAAAAAACCTTACCCCTTACACTTGAGGATCCAACCCAGGCCTTGCCATGCTATATGAGTGCTCTACCGTTGAGCCCCGCCCCCCAGCTCTGTTTCTTGGGTGTTTAAATAGATGCGGAGTAATGCAAGTAGTCTCCATACTCTGAAATCGCAAAACAAGGTCCAGTTTTCACACAGACACATTTGGAAGGATCTGTTGGTTACAAGTGTCCACCGCTCCTTCAGCCTCAGTAGTCATCACTGACAGAGACAACGAGACAACAGAAGAAAGTTGCATGTGCAGTAAGATGCAGCCATTTCCAAAGCCAGGCCCCCGAACGTACCTGGGAGATAGCAGTCTGTTTTAATTGTTCAAAATAGCAATAAGTACAAAGTCCAAGGCACATCTAGCACTACCCACCTAGGTTTGGGTTCAAAGTACCTACCTCACCCCATTTGTCCCAGGGAATTTTCCCCAGAGAAGAAGGTAGTGCACACACCCTTTACCCCTGTGTCTTAGTCCATTCCACCTGCTATAAGAAAACACCTCGACTAGGTGACTTATAGGCAAGATCAAAGCACCAGCAGGTTCAGTATCTGATGAGGCTCTTGCCTCCTCATAACACCTTGCCTCTGCATCCCACAGAAATAAGAGGCAACGACCTCTCTGGAATCTCTTCAACAGGTCCTGCTCTCATTCACGATGGAGAGTTCTCTGACCTCATCACTTCTCAGACACCTGCTAGGGCCATCAACCTTGGCGGTGGGTTTTGGCTTGTGAATTATGGATGATACAAACTTGTGGTTTGAATGTGTGTTTCCCCACGGATCATGTGCTGGCAGCTTGTCCCCAGGATGGCAATTGTGACAAGAAGAAGCTTTAAGAATGAAGCCAATTGGAAGGTTCTGTGAATACAAAGAAGGAAGGGAAAAG